TGTTATCTAATACATAGCTATAGTTTAAATCCGCATGAAACACCAAAAAGCACTGGTGGTTTGTTCGAAATACATCGATTGATGAATACTGGGGCAGCAGACTTTGGAGTGTGGAAGTGCAAAGCAAGGTCTTGTCTGCATAGGTTCCCAAGTTGAAGAATCAGTTGGAACGAATCCAGGAGATGGCGCCATTGTGCATTGCTTGTCAACCAAATTGCAAACAGCTAGGTGTGTTTGACACCAGCCATGTATGGTTTGCATTTGGGAAGGAGGAACACCAGCGCGAAGCTGAAGTGCTTGGAACCGAGGCCTCCCAGGCGAAATCCGAAGAAGACCAATTTTAAAAACAAATCAAGAAAACTACATTTGGCAAGATTCGGCATCCAAATAACAAACAAGTCATAAACACCAGCTAGGTGTGTTTAATCTGTAGTATTTGGGTGTTTTATTTGCATATAGACCCTTGTGCCAGGTACCAGAGCTCCAGAAGAAGATCATTGAGATCCAGGAGACTCTCAGAAGGGCAATAAGATTGTTCCCTGCTCATCCGAAAGTCGTTTGTAATGGAACCTTCAATGGAACCGCAGAGGGCTAATGGAACAACAGAACCCATTTTGATCAATTTGCAGGCTGCAAGCTCTGCAGCGTCAGAAGAGCATGAGCGGCAAGTTGAAGCTCTTCAAAAAGAAGCGTCTCAGGCAGGGCAGTTTCACGGAGGAGTGCATAGTGGCACAATGCACCTGTTTTCACCACGGCGAAAAAGAGACTCCACCCTTCGATTGAGGTTCCAGCTTTGAAGAAGGAATTGGACGAGATCAAGGTCGGTCTCATCCCGGACGGTATCAATCGAATCCCGTTTTTTTTTGGGCAAAACACATTTCGAAGTTGCATGGTGTAGACCATGTAGAGCCACGCTGCAACAAGATAGTGACAGAATATCAATGGCAATCCGCAATGACAGCAGCAGATCAAAGAAAGTTGCAGCAAAGACAACACATGGACAACAGCGAAGAGAGCTACATTCTTGAGCAGCAGCAGCAAGCTAGAATCGCAGCAGCAGCAGAAAACGACACATGCTGTACATATATATGTATATCAAAATGACAATGTGCACTGCGAATGGCAAGCCACACGGCAAGCCACACGGCAAGCCACACGGCAAGCCACA